TGAAGCACACCGTGACCTGCACTGGACATGGGGTTATGGGTGAATGGACAGAACCGTATGAAGCACACCGTGACCAGCACTGGACATGGGACTCTTATATTTGTATGGTAGGAAATAAAGGTTTACATACTGGATAAGTAAGTGGTTTGATGTATTAAATACACTGCATAGTATTTTTGGCTCCTTTCCCAACATACCCTGACATTGGTCTCCTACCTCTATACCACACAAATGTTGATTACGTTTTGTTGTATTCTTTAAGTGCTTTATCATAGGAATTAATCCTAACTGGTTGGCATGTGCTCTATGACGTCAGATATCCGCATGTTATTTTAGATGTGGGTTAAAACGAGTATAACGGGAAACCACAAGAACATTTTCTGATCCTCAATAATGTTAGGAAGTGGCTAACAGGCCTAATGCATGCTTCTACTCATGGTATGAGAACCGCTCGCGTGTTTCAAAACCAAAAGATACCTGAGGCAAGTAAGTATCTAAACACCACGTAAAATGCAGGCGGCATCTGCGTGTTTCCAGTAGCACCAGGGTTCGGCTGGCGACATAAGCAGACTGTTGAGAACAGAAGCGGACTTGTTGACGACATGGTAAAATATTATCACGGATAGAACAGCCGCTTCTGCTGCGCACCTCGCTCTGGTGAATGTCGCGTGCACCGCCAATATCACACGCACCCGCTCGCTGCTGCTCTGCGGATTTATGACCTCGCGACGCCGATCAGTTGGTGAGTCACCCGGCGTGTGACCTTCCGTAAGGATACTGACGGAAGCGCATGCGCTATAACATCAGCCGCGCTGCGTGGCGTGTCACGGGTATCCCGGGGGCTGAAGTCGCGTGCTTCGTCCCGTAGGTTAATCATGCAAATACTTATTTTTATACTTCCTGTCTCACATGGTACAGCCAGTTTCTGCATATGTTACTTCACCTTTGATCAAATATTCTATTTTAACGGAGCACACGCTATTAAAATTTAGCGGTGTTAGTTAATGAAAATCGTATGCCCAGGTTTCCTCGCGTAGACTGAAGACACGCACTTAACTGGCATCTCTAAGTTAGTCGCATCGTGCGTGTAGATGTGTTCTGCAAGTTGTTTCATATTTTCATTATCATTTCTGCTTTTCAGATGCACTGTCCTGGTCTACTATTTTGTACCTGTTAAGAAATTGACCTTATATCGGGTATGTTAAACGTGAGATGTGCACCGTAACGCAGAAACTCTGCGGATTATTCGCTTCAATCGGAAAAAAATGAACCGGGGTAAACAGCAGAATCAGAGGTCACAAGTGGCTGCCCTGCTAGATTTGGTTTCTGCTGTGACGTGTTCTACTCAGACCACATCACAGAACCTCTGTTTGAATAGTTTTGGGGTACTACTGCTCCCTTCTTTCCTTTTCCATGACATTCGACAGACTCGGCCAAACTTCGCAGGGTGAAGCATGAGGCCAATTTTGTCCTGTTACCCTATTTGTACACTCTGTAGTGCTGTTGCCAGGGATACGGGCACATCCTAGAACACCTCGTAGGTCATTTAACAGAATGCCAAGTGTGTTCGTGCACTTTGTTCTCACGAGCAAGCTGTTATTTCGTGAGTTCCACCAGCAATTTATCAAACCACGAGACTGTATATTTCGACATATAGTCTTGGCTGCGTCGCTACACATAAGCAGTAAATTGATAAGCATGTACGATGCTCCACAGCGCATTAATATAATTAATCACTGTTTGTGTGTCATAGCTGATCTGGCTACTAGTATTCAATTAGAGAACCTCGTCATTTCTGTAATAATATACGCTGTAAAACATGACGATGGTTTTTCAACTCTTCTTTTTGTCATTTTATTTCCCTCTGTATTTTATGGTTCAATGTTTTCTACTCTGTTTAGGGGTTATTGGAAGAATAATGTACACTTATACTCTTGTAGCCCTGGATACCGTTTCTTGTGTGCTGATGGAAAAACATGCTACATATTTTTCAATTATTTTGCTATATTATGTAGCAGCAGTCCATTTTCTCAATGTTGCATGAATCTGGCTCTGTAATTCCCTGTTGGAAACCATTGTAACAAGACATATTGAACAGCTTTAAACCTTTTTTTTTATATGTCTGCGTTTGACTGCTTTTATGGTTTTTATAGCAGGTCTGCACTTGAGAATGTCATGAAACTGCTACATGTTATTTTTACTAACTGTGATAAGATCGTTTGTCTCATTTTTATTGGCTATTAGAAAAGGACAGCGCAGTCAAGCCTGCTGATTGGACAGCACGGCACTCCTGCCCCTACATATACTCAAATGGAGATGCAGTAGGGGGTCATTTCAGGTCTAAGTGTAATATACTGCTGTGTTGAACATTGCGCCTAACAGCCTCCTTTAGCTTGGACCATGGTTACGATTTACCACGTCCTGTTGCCTTAGGCCGTCACATGTAATGAGAATTGACATCTTTATAGACCACATCCAAAGTCAAATGGGGTAGTGTGTTGTTTAGCGGGGTTAGGGTTCTGTGCCTGTGATCGGAAGGTTGCTAATTTGAATCTCAGGGCCAGCAGGCCAATGTTGCCATTGGGCCCCTAACCTCCAGGGGCGCTGTGTGCTGGCTGATGCTTCCCCACGCTTGTTCTCACCTGTATATGTGTCTGTGTGTCTCATAGAGAACAATATGGGATAGGCGAAAAGACAATTTCCCCATGAATGAATGAAGTATCACTATTCTATATACAAAAAATGTATCAAAGCCTACAATTTCAAAAGAATTTGCCTGCTGGAAAACAACGATCACGCCAAATTTACCGAGGACATAATTACCCGAATCTACACCCTCCGGTTGGCTTTTTTTTCCGAAGCCACGCCCCCATTTCACTTGCCCCTCAAAAAGTCTGCGCAAAGTACTGGCCATAATTATGATGGTTTAATAATTTATGCTGTTCCTGTAGTAGCCGCTTTCTCCATGTATCCATGCTGTCAGCGTGTTTTTGCAAGCGGGTCCCAGCTTCCTCATACAATCCACACGCGCTTTTAAATAGCTTTATGACCCGGGTCATCAAACTGAATTAGCCCTCAGCTGACTTTCTGTTCAAATAAAAGACTGTCTAAGGCATGATAGGAGGGGCGCAGCTGGAGGCAAGCCAGCGTGGACAGTTTTAAGCAGAATAACTCACGAACGACACTTTGACAAATACGTGAGTATGTTCAGCATTTATTTAATTGATCCACAGTAAAATACAACTCGTGGTTAGGGTCAGTGAATAATGTTGGGCACACTACTATTTGGAATTGTATCGATCATCCGTGAAGAGCTGCGATTAGATATACCCTTGAGGGTGCTGGGGCCGAACGGAGCGTGTACTGAAATCAAAATAAAACAAGAAAATTGTTCTGATCAGCATCATTAAAGTTTATCAGGTGTTAACCCAAAATTGAAAAAAATATGGAAAGGATCAGAATTCATTGAAATGTTGTAGGCAAAGCATAGCGTGCTGCTCCAGGGACGGCTACGTAACATCACATCTTCAGCGTGGAACATTTGATCCCTGTCTCTAGGTGTTTAAATGTTCTCGCGGCATTTGAGAAGATTTCCTCCAGCAGGCCGAACATGTGAATGAGGTGAACTGGTGCTTCCAAATTGAAGTGCAAATTTCTAAAACTCACTGAATTTGTTGTTTTTGAGATGAAACTGCCAATGGCCTAAAGTCAGGCTTCCTCATCATATGTTACAGTATGGAAAACCCAAACGTCCTCATGTAATCCAATGAAGAATATTCATTTCATTTCTTCAACTTACTTGAAGTACATGGAAAATGTGTCCTGTGAACAGAGGTTTGGGAATTTATTTTTCATTTGGTCATTGTCAGTGTGTGTTCTTAGCCTAGGATAGGCTGACATTTTGTGCAGTGTGCTCCCTGTTTTGTTCCCTGCGCATTCTGGGATAGGCTTCAGGCGCACCATGACCCTGTACTGCATAAGCAGTATGGAAAAATGGATGGATGTAGACAAGGCGTATCCCATAAAAACACCCACACTCCCTCGGCTGTCTGGCCTCCTCCAATGTCTCCAGCCTGACCGGCATTTCTTCTACATTCCTCTGCATTCCAAACCAACAAAGCACATTCCGGAGCATTTCTGTGAGTTGTCCACTTCACCACGGCGACAAGGGTCACCGCCCATGTCCCTGAGTCACTTGTCGTTATTTTCAACACTCTGAAAACGAACGGGGAAACAACTGATTTTTATCACATCCTTTTATCGAATCCACCTTTTTTAATGAAGAGAAAAAATTGCCGGTAGATAAGATTCCGTTTCTGTGAAATCAGCTCACAAGGACATCCAGATGCCATCGACAGGGAATTGCACTGGCGAGAGTTCGGCAGGATGTCGACGTCTTGTGCAAATCAATTGCTGCTGCTCTGAGTCCCTAGCGCTGCTGTGGCCTGCTTTATCTGGAACCAAGAATGGGACTGTTGCTCTTATCGTAAGCCCCTTAACAGACCCTGTCTGATTAAATGATGTGTTAATTAAAGACCTCATCTGGCACCTCTTGTCTCTGCAATTCTACCTGCCAGTGAGGGAACATGAGTGGATCGAACCATTCTATTAAATGGACTGAACCATTCATTTGGCAGACAATGTATGGAAAATGTATGGATGACAACCGTCTTTGTGTGCTTCATTCAGGAATGAGTTCATCCTTTCGTGGTTTACTTATAGAGGTCTTTATGGAGTAAAAGTGCTTTAGCAAGAGATGGTGATTGTGTTAAATGTCTTCATATGGCATGCAAGAGGTTTATAGCACAGGGTAGGTAACACATACACTGTAATATTATTCATTCCTCTATTCCTTTGCATTTTATTCATTTAGCAAGCACTTTAATGCTAAGTGACATATGTTTTTGAGAAAGCAAGGTGAGACAGCCCCTGGAGCAATTGACAGTTAAAGGCCTTGCTCAAGGGCCCAATGGTGACATCATTCTCCCAACCATGGGATATGAACCAGCAAGTTTCTGCTCAAAAGCACACCATCCTACCTCATTGAACCACACACCATGCTTGGAAACTTTCTGACTGTTACTAACAAAGGCATAGCCATGGGGAAATGAAGTCGAAGGCTCCGGAACCTGTTTTTTTATTCCAGAATTCTAGAAGGCAGAGCAACGTTAACTGCTTGTGTTGTTTGTGGCCTCTCTGGGCTCCGCGAGCCCCGTGGTTCCGCCAGTCTCCGTGGTTAACCGCACAGAGACCCACGGGTTTTATCCTTGAGACACGTTCCTCTGACATTTCCTGCCAGTGGATCTTTGGTTCCGCCTAGGGGCACGAGGACCGACCTCATCACAACGACACCATTCATTAGGTCTACCATCCCCCCTTCAGCTCCTCTGAATGCAAGCACCAAAGAACAGCAGAACAAAAACATAGGTCACGGCCTCGGGACGTGGCCGACTGCTGCAACTCTTTGCCGTCTCCATCCAAGCCTCTTTTAAGCGGTTTATTTGCATATATTGTTTCTTTGGGCCAATCAGAGCCTGGTGTACACTTGCTGGTGGAACGAGGTCCAACCCTCTCATGGGATTGAGAAGTTCTATGAATGGCAGTTTCAGAAGTTTATTTTCTTCCAGGGAACAATTAATTGAGCAATTAGCTGGTGTGGTGCTTTGCCAATACACTCGAGTGCAGTATATGTGATGGCACTGTCTCTTGTCTTGTGTAAACTGTTCAAATTGTATCAGAGGTCATGGGTCAAAAAATGTCAATAAATGACAGTGGTGTCCAACCTTATTTACAGTGACAGCTACTTCTGCAAATAATATTGCGGGGAGTTACGTGTTTGATATAACAAGATTTAAATTGGGGTGGGGGGTGGTGTTGACACTAAATCTTGTAAGATGGTCACTTTGGGAGGTCTTTGAGCTTTGTTCTTGTCTTATCCATGAACACAGAAACATCCTACATGTAGCCCAGAATGTGAGGGAATGGCTTTGTGGAAATTCTGTGGATGTATTGCTAAGAGAACAGGATCGGCTACTTATTGTTTTGAACTGGTTTGGATCAGGGTTCCCGGATAATCTATTACCATTAAGTACATTTGCAGTGTGATCATTGATTGTCTGCAGTGGAATAGCAATCACTGCAAAACTGTAACAGCTGGAAACATCTGCCAGCGCTACACCTGCGGTTAGAACATAATTCTGGAATAATTCTGTTTTTCAAAAGCAGGATGGAACATAGGCTTAATATTCCATTTATTGTGGACTACAAAAACAACCGCTACAATGTTGTCATTAATCGGTAAGTGACGATGACATTCAGCATGCTCTGTTTATGTATTCCTCCACACCATTGTTAGCCCTGTTTCACCATTGTTGCTAATGACAACACGAATGGCGCGTAGCTACGGCGATGCGTCCGGAATGTAAACAAGCAATCAGAAACGGGCCTTGGGAAGCGACGGGGTTCACTCATGCATGATGGGGCTCTTTGACACGTAGATGCACTAGTGACTCCCTAGTGTCACCAAGGCGGCTTCGCTGCTCTCGTCTGCTAGGCCAAAAATTGACACGGCAGCTTCCAGTATGATCATTCATGGCAGATGATGGAGGGGCTTCTAGGTCTGTAACCCCTCCTACTCCCATCCCGTAGTTATTTATGATTATTGTCTATGTTTAATGTTTAACGCCTTCTTTTATATGTATGTTTCCTGTTAACACAGTCTTGCAGTTTGTCAGACATTGTACCGAGTATAACTGTGTATGTGACAAATTAATCTTTGACTTGATTTTTCACGCTGCAGACTTAGGACATAGATCTCATCCAAAAGCAAAGGGTTTATGGGGGTATAGTTTAAGCAGGGTTACATTAAACCAAATTGTCATTCATTCACTGATTGGGAAAATGGAATTGGCACTAACCTCATCGATCTGCTGATTGATGGATCAGTTGATTGATTGAGGAATCTGCATAATTAGTCTGGTGAATGGGGATTCATTCGATGTGACTGGGCTGTATTATCAGGGGTTATAAGACTGAGTCCATGCAGTAGCTGTCTACAGCCCTAATGTGGCATGATGCTGGCCTTTGTTCTTGTTATTTTCTGATTTGTTTGTTTCTGATTTCACGCCTGTTCTGCTTCTTGGGGCTGGTTTTGTATTTGTCCCTCCCCCATTCTATCCTGAAAAAAAATCCCATCCTGTCTGGTTGAAATCTCAAACCCAGCTGTCTAGATGTACACCTCACTGGGAATATATAATAAAAGAACCACAAGTCTTTTAGGCTGCAGAAAAGTGCCGGGTTCTTGGACTTTGGTGATTATTTTTACATTTATTAGTAAACGTATGCTTGTGGACAGCTTTTCAAGTGCGTGTCCTGCGAGAATCTGAGGACTGGGTTAGGAGACTGAGGAGCTTCTCAGTGTGACTTACCTACAGATGGTTCATGTGGGAGGAACCGGCTGGTTTTCTGAGCGTGGTAGGATCATGCCGCATTTAGAAGCTCGCGGTTCTCAGTATAAATACCCGCTATTATGAGTCTGTATTACATTATTTTTCTTACAGCTCTGCTAGAGCCTTAATTGGCGCTTATCCTTGAAGCGAGCTGCAGGGTAAGCTTCCGTAGAGTCTCTGCTGAAGGTGAAGTTATTCTATTAGTGGTGAGAGATGCGGGGTCTGTGAGCACAGGATAGGGCAGGACCAGCATTGCCTTTGGTTGCTTAGTTAGTTCCCTTCAGGGTAAACCAGGCTATAATTGACAAAGCACTGTTAACCCCTTACCGGTCATGTTTTACCATATGTTCACCTCAGTGCAAAGGTCTGTCAAATACAAATTAATACCTCCTGCAAGCTAACAAGCATTTTTGTTTTTCAGTCCATTTAATGGTGCAAAAGGGTAGATGATGCTGATGCCCCCTGACCAGCATGCCAACATGGGAGAGGATCCCCACCCAGGGTGTCCCCTGCCTCGTGCCATGTGACGGACTGGCATCCCACCCAGGGAGTCCCCTGCCTCGTGCCATGTGACGGACTGGCATCCCACCCAGGGTGTCCCCTGCCTCGTGCCCTGTGACGGGCTGGCATCCCACCCAGGGTGTCCCCTGCCAGGGTGTCATGCCTTGTGCTGCCTGGGATAAGCCTCAGACTCACCTCGACCCTGCATCAGTTAAGCATTACAGAACATGGACAAATGGATGGAAAATGTAGCCTGAATAAATATTTTGTTCTTTATAATACAAATGCAGCATCTACATTTCAAAACAATGACAAAAGCGGCTGACTATTTTGACTGAATGAGGACGATATCGCGGTATCGCGTGAAGTTGCTAGGCGGCTTGCAGATTTATGCCTCGTGTGGTTATGCTTACAATATTTACCCAGGCGATTTTTGGGAAGGGAAACTTTGACGATGGCACAAAGCAGAGCCCCTGCTGGCTCTGTAATCAGCAACCCTCGGATATAACTCCCTATGTTTTACACAATTAGATGCAGTTTTAAATGCAGAACATCTGTGCTTCGCCATGTGATGGCCTCAAATGAAGGCAGCATTTTTCACTGCCCTGTGAAATTTCGAAAGCACACATGCGCATATAATTTGTGTGTCGCTCAAAAAAAATCAAAACACACAAAGTTTGCGGTTACTAAAAATATACATTTATTCAGCAATGTGCTTGTTAGTAGTTTTTTATTTTCAAGTAAAATCATTTAATCATTTAATGTCACTTAAAAATAACAGCATTTAATGATAAATCGCAACGTCTTTACCTGTAAATTGGTATCATAGATCACAATGTGATCATGTGATAATTACAAACTTCCTATACATAACAGACATATTGTCTTGTAAAGCCTGATTTGCCTGATTTGCCTGACGTCTTCTGTAGGATTATCATAATGATTTTATTATATATTTAGCCAGCAGCTTTGAGGTCTTGGTCGACTTGGACTGGTGACATGGCAGATAAGTGGCTCGGCTTAGTTTAGGTGCTCTGACTGTATGGTGGCAGTGCCAAACCCTCCAAAATCTGATTCTCACCTGTTCAGAGGTGTCCGTCCAATAGGAAACCATCTCACTGGCCCTGTCCCTGGCTTGGGTCTGCATTTAGGGATAAGGGACACACTTGTTAGCTATCTTGATTATCCTGGTCAGGGTCGCAGTGAGAAGAGACATTACCCCCCTTATTAAATGCATCAGAACAGACAGACGCAGAAGCACCGGAGTCGCTAAGGGAACGAGTCGTCGGCACGGCGATGACCCTCGGCTTCTGTTACGAGCTTGTGACAGAATGAATGTGACATTATGTCCTAATGCTGCGGTGCATCGGTACCATTTCCAAATTGTATATCTCAGTCAAATGCACAGGCGGTCACTTGCATACTGGTGAAGAAATGGAAACAAAGGGTCTTTCTATCTCGGATTAAAGTGGCGCTTTGTCGGGGTGCTGATATGTGTGTTATATGACACATCGTTCGAGATTCTCCACATTTCTGTGATTTAATGCTAAACGTCTCCACTGATGCATTTGGTTATTTATATTCGTTCTGTTGCTTCCAGGTTTTTCAGTCATGCATCAAATTACAGCCAGCACTGGTTACTCAGGTATTCTTGGGAAGGTTAATGAGTTTATTTCTAAATTAGAGAATGCTTGTTCCTCCTGCAGCCTAAAACCATGTGGTGATGTGAATTTGGGTCTCTGCCCTGCAATGAACTGACATCCCACCCTGGGTGTCTTCTGTCCCGTGCCCTGTGACGGACTGGCATCCCACCCTGGGTGTCCCCTGCCCCGTGCCCGGTGACGGACTGGCATCCCTCTGACACACTTGTGTTCTATGCTTCCTGTGATCCAGGTTATCTACGGGTTTGTACTCGGTAAGCGGTTGGGGAAGGAAGGAAGGATGGAAGGAAGGAATAATTAATTAAACAATCAGTCGATCAATCAATCAGTTAATTAATTCCTGGGAAGTAATGCTGTAGGTATCTTCTGATAGGGTTCATGAAATAGAACTGGTTAGTTGACCACTATTTCATCATCAAAGTTATGGTTAGTTCTGATTGAACCCTGCAACAGTTTGTGTTAGTCCTCTCAGCCTTGAAGCCAACTGTTCTCCATGACAATCTCTCCAGTGAAGCGTTTTCAGTCCATTATAGTGCTTGAATTATAATCTTAAATTATTGACCAAGATTGAGAGTGGTTTATGAATCCATATGAAGCCAAGCTCCAAGAATCTCAAGGTGTCCCTAGAGAAGACAGTATGGGTTCAATCCTTCACATCGCCCAAAACACACGTGTCATCGAGACACAAGGAGGGAAAAAGAGGGAAGTCAAAATCAGTTTCAAGAAAACCTGACATCTCAGTTCACTTGGGCCTGATATCGGTCACATGATAGAGCTGTGAGACAAAAGTAATGGGTGCTGGGACATCAGACATAGCAAAGTATGAAGACAGCATTCACATTGAAAGCTACACCCAGTGCCCCTTCTGGGGTAACCCAACCGAGAGAGATTCAGACAGAGTGGCTAACCTTATAATTAACCAATGATGTGTTTTGAATCAGTCAGTAACTGGTAAGGGGGCACTCTGGGGCCAATCAGCTTTCAGCTGCTTCATGTGGCCCCGCCCCTCTATAAACAGCTGGTCAAAGGTTACTTACCTCCACTCTGCACCTCTTAACCACACAAGCCCATCAAAATGGAAAGACTTTCAGAAATTCTCACTAGCGTGTTGCTCTTAACTTGCGATTTTCCATTTCCGGGATTGAGCCCTTAATGCTGAGTCCCATCTTCATGTCTTAGGAGAGACAACAGGGTTTTTCCCCGCCATGAATATACATAAGCCAGCTTTCTCTCTGATTGTTTTTCTCATCCGTTTCAGGATTAATTAAACGCTGGTCTCTCAGTGCCCAGACGGTTTCACTTTACTTAAAACATTTGGCCTTTAAACCCACACTAATTAAAAAAATCCAGCCTGACGGACTCCAGATGCAGCGCCCGCTCCAGAGAGGGATGCAATACAACGAATGATTTAACGTAATGTCCGCTTCGTATTTTCTCTTTTTAACGACACGGTTCCTTGTACTCAATCCGGTCTCTCTTGGCCTCCCCCTCCCCCTACGTCTGGCTCAATGAAATTATGTTCATCGTTTGAATATTATAGCTATTATCTACATCACAAATGAGGACACCCTAAATGATCCTTTGAAAAAACGGCCAAGCTCTTCAGTTGATGCTAAGAGGTGTAGATGGTTTGGTGTGAGATGCGATTCACTGATTGTTGTGTCACTCCTATGCCTGTTACCAAGAAACCTTAAGAAGTTTTTTTTTTTTTTTTTTTTAAATATTCACCCCTTGAGTCTTTAAGGTACCAAGCATACAGGACATGTGAGTGGCTGGCCTACCAGAGAGGCCTGGAAGCAGCCGCGGTACTGTTGTGTCGTTTGCATTTTTAATGCTCTGCTTCTGAAGGCCTGTTATGGGAAAATGCATAAAGTAACTCTACATAACGGTTTAATATTTCAGGAGGCCCCCTGCTCTCTTGATTAGCTCAAGCGAATGTGTCTGTTGTGGGTTTTTTTTTCTGGAGTGTTCCGGCGAGCGTGTGCCTTGCTCTGTGGCAGTGTGTATTGCGTTTTGTTTTGCCGCTGTTCCGTGTCGGTTGCGTGTTATAGACACAGCTTTCGCTTCTGGCTCGAATAGAGATATGTTGCAGTGACTGTTTTGATTAGATTTCACCGGAGGGCAGGGACAAGCTGGAGGTGAAGGGCCTGTAGCCAGAGCACCTGCTAGCAGCTCTCCGGGGAGTCGGACCCTCTGGGTGGACGACTCGCCTGGATTCCAGTTTTGCCGGAGCGAATGAAGGCTAATAACTGGAGAAGGACAGCAGTCACTTTCCGAAGATCCCAGATACCCAAACTGCTACTTTTTTTGTGGGAAATAACGCAGTGTTGGTGCCAGTGATGAGGGGGAGGGGCAGTACGATGTTAATACTGGGAGGATGAATATATATACAGTGAAAACTTGGCAGTGAATTGGAAGCCTTGGAAAGCTTGCCGAAGGAAAACATTGTCTACATTGTCTATGTGCAAAGGTAGTATTTCATGGGCAGAGACAAAAATCAGCGTAAGTGGAGTAGGCTTCAAAAGTACTGACAGCCAGTCACACAATAGAAACAGCATTGTTGTCTAACAATGGAAATTGTGCTTGAATTCTGTTTATAATAATCAAAATTGTTGTCGTTATTATTATTTATAACAACCATTATAATAATACATGTTATTTCATTTTAATTTATAATGTGTAATTAATATCATTTTGATTCATATATAAATATTCTGAACATAGAGTTGTAATATATCGAATATAATTTATTACTTATGATTTGTTTGTATTTATTTTTTGATAAAACCGGTATTCAGACGTATCATCAGACATTTAGTTTACTCATTGCCTTGTGTATTTGAGTGGCTGTGTTTACCGCCCTGAAGCTGCTGATCTGTAACGCTGAGGTTTGATGAATGGCTCTATATCTAACACAGCTAAGAAGGGCAAAGGTCTCCCTCTCTCTCAGTTCTCCTGCCAGCGAGGAGTCGATATTTACTGACCTGTCGCTCAATACGTTGGGATGTCATAGACCTCATGAAAATATATATGGTAACGTTTAAGTTTAAGGCCTGTTCATTAAATATTAATGAATTGGTACTAACCATTTGATAATACAATATAGGAACATTCATTCACAAGTTTCAAAGTTTATTACAATCATATTTTTGTCCTGGTATTTACAAAACAGCCTGTAAATGACATGCAAATATAAAGCAATGGGTTAGTATACTGAAAAATAGCATACCGAGACACCTGCCTGGCCCAGATCAAGATATTAAGCATACTGAGAAATTAGTTACAACTGAGCATTTACAAGCCCATCCATCCACCCATTTTCTGAAACCGTTTGTCCTATTCAGGATCGCGGGGGGTCTGGTCACAGAGGCTACGGGCACAAGGCAGGGAACAACCCAGGACGGGGCGCCAGCGCAACAGAGGGCACACTCACACACACATTTACAAGCTCTTTAGTAAAAGGTTTGTGAGACAGGAGTAAGATATTTTTACAATACATTTCCTAGCTTGATTACAAGTGAATCGTTTTCTATACTAATATAATAAATAATGATTATTGACAGTTTATTGATCGTTAAGAAGCATTGTGGCGTAAAAAAAAATGTGTTGTTAATCACAGTTATC